TTTGCTTGCGCCAGGAAAACAAATGCAACACTTCTAACCTGTCCTGCCTGAGGTGCTGCCACTGTGTATGCTCTGCCCATCCCGACCCTGGTTACTCTTAAAGAAACAGCAGCTGGGAACTGTTCTGGAGTTCCCGGCATGACAATGCTGCCGGGGCATGACTGCACAGGGGTGGGGGGGGCAATCCCAGAGCCCCTCCTAACTTGACACCCGGGATCTGTGCCCCTAGTTATAGTACTGCTCACAAACATTATTTCACTTACTTAAAAATAACAACAGCGTCTCATAACCTGAATGGAAAGACTTCATGATGGAAATGGATTATACCCTGGCAAATTACATCACATCAATGAAAACTGAAACATAATACGCAATATTTATGCATCTTTTGACTCATTCAAAAAATACTATTTTTTGTCATAATTTTTCCACCCTCACAGGAAACCACAAGAGAAGAACTAAAGAGTACGGGCATATGAACAATTTACTGCAGGGCAAAAAGGAGCGGGGATTTACCATGCATAAGCAGCTCAGTAATATCTACCCACATGCATGTTTTTGCCTCATTTTTTGAAGGTTAACCCATGGCACCTTGGCCTTCTTTCACTGAGAGCTAATTTTCTTCTACTGCTTAGCTTTCATTTACTGTGGGATAAGAGCATGCACATGGGCAATTAGCAAAGAGCAGCAGGCACATGCTAATTTACCATTGTCTTTATGTCTCATAGTAATAACTTTCCAGACCTAACTATTGGAGGATTTGATTTACCAACGTCCTACTCTGGTTTTAAACTAGGGTACGTTCACCGATTTCAAAAGGAATTTTTAAGAAGCTGTCTTTTTAAACACAAAGTGTTATATGAAAAGAACAGGTTTACAAATTTCAGCTTTGCATTCCTGTTACAATTGTTTTCACTCATTACATACTACTATATATCACCTGATATCTTGCTTTGAGCCCCTTGTTTGGCAAAAGCCTTCAGCACAGTAACATAATGATTCTTAATGGTTTGTCTAATCTGAAATTCTGCCATCATCAAAACCAGGTGCATGACAGGATGATGAAGTAAACTCCATAACTGGACAATAATGTCTTCTAAGACTCATCATTCAGTGCTTGGCTTATGCACCAACCATGAATGTTTATAGCCTTTTGAAGTCCTAACTGTGGGTGTCCCCCACACTTACACTTGCTAATTTCTTCTTGAATTTCACATACACTTGTTAATTTCTTCTTGAAACTTACTAAATTCTTGGTCTCAATGACATATTGTGACAATGAGTTCCAGAGGTTAATCATGCCATATAGTTACCAGGATGACAGAAGTGTATTCCATGAAAGGATACAGGATGAAGAAACTACATGCTTTCCTAGTACAGAGTGAGGAAAGAGAACATAACCATGCCCATATCCAAAGGGTCTTTGTGAAGTCCAATGAAAATGAAGGTATTATTACTTTTTGATTTTGCCTAATACCATAGAATCATAGAAAATAAGGTTTGGAAGGGACCTCAGGAGGTCATCTAGTTCAACCTCCCAGCTCGAAGCAGGACCATCCCCAGCTTCATACTTTCATAGTAGCTAGGGTCAGGAGGGACCTGAACAGATC